TACTAAACTAAATAGTCTGTGACTTTTGAACTGTCTATCCACTTCTCTTTTTCAATAAAATTAGTTTTATAGAACAAGTTTGTTGTTAAATGTTAATTTTACTAGTAATATGACATCCACAATAAATGTGCATTTCGCCATTTACTCACTTATTCAGTCATATGTCACGGAAATGTTTAATACAGTCTCTCATATTTAAAGTATGCGGTCAAGAAATAAAGTTAATCACTTTGATTTACAGCCATCTCAACGCAAAGAAAAACAAGTGCTTTTCATTCTGTCAATAAAATCGGTAGTAATAACATATAGTGCTTATTTTCAAAATACCAGGTAATCCAAATAACGAAAATGGCAATTAGTAGTAATAGTAATCAATATTCCGTATACCTCTTAAAAAAATCATAAAGTAAATAGTATGTAAGAAAATTATTATAGGGCTTCTGTGTAAGCGCTTGCTTACTAGACCATAAACATTGAGTTAGATCCCCTGCGATGGGCTCATGAATGTGCACTGTTAAACTGTTCTAAACTAGGATAAAGCAACTATCCAGTGTCTCCTAGTTTTTGCTGATAGTTTGACTAAGATCAATCTGTTGTGTAAACTATGAAAATATGAGGAAATGTTGGGACAGTATGTTTATATAAATATATATGTATATATCCTTATGTGTACGTTTAGATGTACATATTGAAGGAGAAAACTAGAGACACAATTGCAAGATGATAGAAAGTGGTAGTAAAAATAATAACAACAATAGTACATATTAATAAATTGATTTCATTCGCCAGAGAAACTGGTATAAACCAATTGATTTCTTTGCACTTACATTTCGATGTTAGGAAAGAATTATGAAAATCATTCAAAAGAAACGATTGATTAAATACCGATTTTATTTTCCGATATAATCGCCGATGATGATTTATATAATATAAACCGAATTAAGAATATTATTAAAAAGTTATGTAAAAGGAAAATGTTTTCTTTTTGAAAGCATATTGTATGTTTTGTTTAGTTGTTATACTGAATTCTGAATATTAAAATTACTTATCTACTTGACGACTGGTTGTCTGCAATATTTTTCCAGTATTCAAATTCAAATCAAGCGTTCTTATGTCAAGTAGTATGAAGTGGATGATCTACAAAATGAACACATATCGGTAGAGCCCAAAATTACAAGGGTGGTTTAATAATGTAACAAAATGATACTACTAATATATGTACTGTCATTTAATAAATAATGAATCAGTCATTAAGTCTATATAATAAGGTAATGTATATATTATATACATGTTAATCAGATTTTTATAACACGTTTTAATGTCTAAATTTGCAAATTCGAACGGTGTACGACTCCATTTATATAGTTTGCATGAAGCTTTGAATGTAGCCCATTGGTTTAACAGATATAGGTAGTATCATTTTGAACTTTACACAAGTAAATCATTGTAAAATGCATGCATATATGACTATATACGACTATACAGTTTATGAATTATTAACATTGTCTTCCTGGAAATGTTCAACAAGCTAAATTAAACTGTCAACTCATAAAAAAAGGAGTCTGATATTTTGTAGAGTTTGTTATAGTTATTAAGATCATTAAAATAACTCATTGTCACTGAATAAAAATAAAGAGAATTCAGGGAAGAAAAATTATTTTTTTTTGATGAAATTATTTACTTAATTATCAGTATAGTGGTTGTGGAGATTGTTAAGTTTTTGATTGAGATCATGAACCGACTGATGTTAGACCACCATTGAAAACCTGGAAGCACTGGACGGCCGTTTCGTCCTATTGTGGGACTCCTCAACAGTGCGCATCCACGATCCCTCACTGCTCACTGCTGAGGAGTCCCACAATAGGACGAAACGGCCGTCCAGTGCTTCCAGGTTATTTACTTCAGTTGTACATTCGTATTTATAATTGTATGGTAAATATATTTCGATTGAAGGATAGAAACGATTACATAATAGAGTGATTCAATAATCCACTTATCAAATGGGTTACGTAATGGTATAATATTTACCATACAACTGTAAATACTAGTGTACAGATTATGTAAATAATTTATTATTATTGTTAAGGTCATTTGATTATATTTATACTACACATGATTGAAATTATTTACCAAGATCTTGTTACATCTTCAAGACAATTTATTTCGATTTGTGTAACTTAAGAAAAATATTTTAAATCGATATTTGAAATTCACAGGTTATCAGGTCTAGTTCTTGGGGTTTTTCCTTAAATTCAAGAATTGTTTTTTTATTGAACTCATGAGTCAATTGAAGCTAGACCACCATGGAAAACATAGAAGCACTGGACGGCCGTTTCGTCCTAGTATGGAACTCCTTAGGAGTGCACATCCACGATCCCGCACCCCGCGAGATTCGAACCCAGGACCTATCAGGTTTTCCATCGTGGTATAGCTTCAATTGACTTATGATTTCAATCAAAAACTTAACAATGTCTACAACACCTAAACTGATAATTGTTTTTTAAATCGTCTCCATCTTTATAGCTCTTATCTTATCAATCATTGATTCCATGATATATGAGTTTATTAGTTAAGTATAGAGATGAAGGAACAGCATGATTTATAGTGATCAATTACCAAGTGTTAACTATTATTATTACTAGATGTTTAAGTGTATTTCATTCATTTTACATTAGTGTCAAAACTCACAATCTGTATATCAATAACCAATTGTTTGAGAATCAATTCTAAGCTAGAATCCCGTTCATTATGGTTATCCAACATAAGAAATAAAACATTTTAAAGTGATATGTACATATATATATATATAATATACTTCATTATTCTAAAATTTCCGTTTTGCTTTTAAAAAAGAAATATGTTTTCATTAAGTGATACTTGTATGTAGAACATTTCTTCTATGAACTAATTCAGACTAATCTACAAGACCATAGGTAATAATAGATAGGGATAAAACTTATAAATACCTGTTTACATACAATTATGCTGTAAATCAAATAAAAGAATAAAAAAGTTATAATGCTGAATTTATTTAAAAACTGATTAGAATTTCTAAATTTTATTAAACATTAACATTCTCCATGGTTATAACTAAGTTCTTATTGTATACTGAAACTGTAGAATATTTTATACTTGATATTAATCAATAATTAATATATATTGCCATTATGATTTACATTATCAGTTAATTGAATGAGACCAATAGATCCTGGGTTCGAATCCTGCGAGATGGAGTCGTGAATGCGCACTGTTGAGGAATCCCACAATAGGACGAAACAGCCGTCCAGTGTTTCCAGGTTTCCCATAGTGGTCTAGCTTCAATTAACTCATGATCTCAACTATTGAATGAACTATATTTATGCTAACGAATGTGTATATAAATTAAGTGATTATTAACAAAGTTTATCGTATAGTGATAGTATTTAAATAATGTCTAAAAAAATAGTTAAGGTTGCCTAAAACGTCCACTTAGTATGTTGTATCCAGTGCTTTTGATGATTTCTCTATTCATTTAGTAGGTTAATGCTATGTATCTGAGTGTAGTTTTCTATATTTGTGTTTATATTTTGTTTGTTGGGCTACACTATATTGTATGTGTCCTTGCAGATCTCCGATAAAATAATTTTTTCATGGAGTATTTGCTAGCCAGAAATGAGGATATTTTATAGATCTGCGCCTTACAATAACTAGATATTGATTCCAACGGTAAAACTGTTGAAACTAAATCACACTTTAATGAAATCATATGCAGTACAAGGATAGAATTCTAAATAAAGCGTTGACCATTTATTTCATAATCAATAATTTTATAAAGAGGATGCTTTGTGAAGTCATTAAGCTTCATGGAATTGTTGAGAAATGGATTGTTGCCTGAAGGGAGAGAAAATGACACCTTATGAACGGAATGATACAAGAATTTAACAAATAAGGATCTAGTAACTATCTAATGAACACGTATATTAATAAGCAAACTATTTCAGACCTTAAAATCTTGGTCAGATCGTATGGTTGTCCTACTTAGATTTGATATATATGCTTGAGTCCGACGTGGTACTTGAATGAGAAGGCTAAGAACAACTGGGACATTGCATTAGCAAACTGAACCTATTATATACACAATTCATTGATATATATATATATATATATATATATATTCCCTCAGATATTTGAACCAAGCCTTGATGAACTACACGAACGGTTTCAGTGAGTGACATATGCTTTTTCATCTTTCTCACAGACATTTCGACCCTGAAATAATATACGTCCATATATGCATGATATATTTGGTTTCGCCCATCATATCAAACTAGGATTGAAATACCTCTTTTAATGAAATGTCGTCATGTCACCAAATAAAAATTTTTAAACATAAGACTACCCATCAGCATGAGATAATTATCGTGTTACTATGGGAATTTACTTAAGTTAAATATATGCAATATTAGATTTGAACTTAGTAGCTTAAGGATTACAAACTCTCATTGCAATCAGATTGTTCTATTTCCGATCCCTGAATCTCTATATTCTTATATTAGAGTAAAGTGAAAACTTATATCTAACTGACTCTTCGGTTCATATCAGCCTCTGGACTAAATTAGATTTCACTGTATAAAAATGATTGTTTGATATGTGTGTATGTATCTTCACATATAGAATGATGACTCTTCAACATCTGTGTATACCAGTTACGTCTGAGCACTGTTTATTTATTTAGAAATAATCTTCAGTCATTAGAAGGCACTCCTCTGCTGAACACCAAGGAGCTTATTAGAAACGTTAAAAAAGTTTAATCATCATATAAATACATACAAAACTTAGAAGTCTCTTCATTTCCAAGTTATATGTTTCGTTGCTAATCGATAAGCTGTAAGTTGTTATAAAGTTATTTTTAGATTGTTATCATACTATGTAACTATATTTAACATTATTCACACTTCTCATCATCATTATCAATTATGACTTATCTTTGTTTCTTTTTTTCACAATAAATAATAAAATAGGCTACAATTAAACAAAAACATAAATAACTGATGATTTTTGAAAGTGAAGACAACAGGAATGCGAAAAGCAATAATCCATCCAGAAAACATTCCATTTCAATTTTATCGCCTTCAACATCTTCAATTGAATTGACAGGACATAATCAAAATAATAATAATAGTAGCAGTGCTATTAATAGAATGACAAATCATTCAAAATTTGATAATTTATCATCTGAATATAATCCCAGTCATAATAGATGGTCACCAGAACATTTTAATAGTAATAATAATAAAGCAAATAATTCAAATCGGCATACACCTAATAAATATCTCACAATCAATCCATATTACAATATGGAGGATTCCAATGCATCTTCTTCTAATGAAACAAAAATTCAAATATTGAAATCAATTGATAATGATGGTGTCGGTAGTGGTTTTACTAGTTGTACCAGTGGTAATATAGGTCAAATTGGAGTTATTTCAACTAATCTTAGTAATGATAATAATAATAACACTATTGCTACTTCAATTACCAATAATACTCCCAGTAGTAATAACAATTTTGATATCGATTGTTTTCATTATCCGTTACGTGAAGCAATGAATCAGGATCTAATTGATTTACTACGATCACAAATATCAAAATTATTAGAGGAAAATGAAAAGCTTGTGTCACGAATTGATGATTATCGACAAAAGATAGCATTTATTGAACGCGTAAGTAATATATACGTGTATACATATAAACGAATTCAGTTTATTTTTTTTTGCCACTGAGAACTTAGATTGAAAGTGGTATTTGATAATTGTGATTTCCTTTCATAAAGCAATTAGCTACCAACTGTTTAAAAGTTCACATTTCATCAAAAAATATTCTCTGATTGAGATCATGAATCGATCGATGTTAGATCACCGTTGGAACCTGGATGCCGGCTAAGTCATCTAGAGGTTAAGCATTTGCGCTCGACATCGAAAGTCCTAGGTCCATATGCCATGTGCGGGATCGTGCATGCGCACTGATGAGGAATCCCGTACTAAAATGAAATGGCCATCCAATGCTTCCAGGTTTTTCAACGGTTGTCTAACATCGATTGATGCATGGTTTCAGTCAAAAACGTAACAATCTTTCCAACCCTATACTGAAAAAAATTCTATTTCCGTAAATTATCATCAGGTTCCAAATTAATAATCAAAAGACAAAAGAAATTTTCTAGCGAATCCAGCTTTAACTATCGAATTGATGAGATAAAGATTGTTTGTAAATGTTGGAATATTTACATAAGAATTATTATTAAAATGAATACAGATAATTTAGCGTAACGGAAATAATAAATAATTCAAATATTTGGCTTTGTGAAGATAATCTTGGCAACAATACAATTAAATAGTGCACTAGATACCTTACACAAGGTAATACCCAAAGACAAATAAAGAAGAAGGATATGATGGTTGGTAGGAACTGAATGTTTGATGGTGAGGAAAGACTGAGAAACGTGTGACTACTAGGCTGAACGTCTGGAGGAGGTGAAGGATCTCACGTTAGTCTGTTCTGTGATATGGCCATGATACATGACCAAGCGTCTTTAACTAGTATTATTTATCAAAACTAATAGGTTCAGGATCAACGACGGATGTTTACAAAATCATTCACACCAATTAAATCAGATAAATTTATTTTAAACAAAAAATATTGAAGGGTAGAGTATAGGTACAGGAGGTGTACTTATTCGACTCTATTATCAAGAGAAATACTGATTAATTATTCTCAGATAGGAAACGAATCAGAACCTGGTTCTTCTGAATGCATTACTCTGTTTTTTTATCCTTTCTGTAAATCGTTTCCATAGTTTAAAAGATTTGGATTGCAACCGTCTATGATGAATTATTGGGAATGATTGATTAGTGTCAACTTGAGGATCCATCTGAACTGGATGCTCTGATATAGAACTATTGATATTATTACCTAAGCATTTGCCTTCAAATTGGTTTATATTCCTTGGTTATTAATTCAAACCAAAAATTGTTGAACTTGATAAGAACTTATCAAAGAGAATATTTTTCTTTTACAAAACCTGATAATAATTGACCAACTACCATGGCATTTAATAAGTTAACCATGTTTCATCAAATGAATTACTATAATGGTCTAAAAATCAATCGGGTTTAATTGTACATTGTTTCTTAAAGAAATCTTTTACTCGACACAGTATAAACTTTGGTATTGTAATAAGTAGACAAAGAATATGAAGATGGAGATGATCAGAACTATATGATATATTCGCGCAATACATTTCAAACAATCTAATCACGCATATACCTGTTAAGAACATTTCTGTATGAAAGCAAAAAGGTCAACTAGACAAATGTAAGTAGGTGGAGACAAAGACAATATAGAAAATAATATGAGAACAATGTGAAATTCACTGCGCTGGATAATAAATTGTTCTCGTCTGAAACCTACCCTGGTAATAATAGTTTATTATCCTGAGTGGTGAATTTCACATTGTTCTTCACATTAATTTCTTTATTATTTTTGTTTCGTACCTACATTTATGTAGTTGACCTTTTTGTTTTTATACAAGAATGTTCTTAACAAGTATATATATGATCAGATTGTTCAAAATGTATTACACTAATATATCACGTAGTTATGATAATCTCCTTCTTCCGATTACAATACAAACTATTGTTCACTTTCTAAACTTTTCAATACATCAGCACAAAATCAAATAGGCAGTCACAAACACTTGGTTTTAAGCATTTATTCAGATACATAACTCACATAATTACCAATGTGAAATACAAGACTAGACAGCATATCTATCTATAAATCTCAATAGGTACCTAATTAGTGCATTTTTACTATAGAAACTAAATAATCAATTAGTAATTAATCATGTATTTTTTTTATGTGTAAAAGTTATGACAATAATTTCTGATTAGTGAGATATTTTCTGTGAGGTAAGGTTGTTGACTTCACCTCCTAACTCTTCTTCTTTATTCTGCCCTAGTCTAAAAGGCTCATCAGATGGAGTCATAGCAATACATGGAAAAGTATAGCTTACAACTAAGGCTGCATAAAAATTCAATTAAACAGTTGTTTAGTAAATAAATAGAATAGATTGATTCACTCAAATGATAACTACCGAGGTTTCATATATTCTCCATTCATATTAATTCTAACTTTTAAAGAGCATCAGATCGATACTTATAGACCATAAATACCTTAAATTTGTGATCTTGAGCTATTGACTCTTTTAACTCTACATATTCATTACTCGATACATTTTAGATTGATTTGTCTTTGAATTCGGATAATAACTTAAGGTATTAGCAATGTTATGAAATGATGACATAATTTATGCTGTAGTCTATCGTGTGTTTCTATCAAAATTGAAGATTGAATCTGAAGGTTGTTAAGTGTACTTCAAAATGTATTTCATGTTTATCATTTGACAGTGATTGGTATGAAATTGTTTTTCACCATGACATGAAGGTAGAAGAAGTACATATTTATAAATACCTTCAAATATTTTTTTCAATCTCAACTCTTAGGATTACCCTGTGAAACGTTTGTAAAGTTTAATTTTTCAGTTGAAATAACAGAATGTCTATTCATTTACCCAAGAGAATAGTTTATTTAAAGTCTGTTAAGAAATAGAGTGAGTGTATTTAAGGTTCACTGATTTGTCCAACTCACAAAAATCTGTTAATGAGCTAATGTTAACTACTTTGTTTGAAAGTACGAATAACTTTTGTTAATACTATTTGTCATCAGTAAGTAGTATATTATATTCTGTTAGTTCTTTACATCTGTATCAAATAGTATTGTGAACAGACTAATAATATTGATAATGATAAACAATATGACTCGTTTTTTGAATTTAGTTATTAATTTCTCATCATACATTGAAGTTTCTTGTAATCTTTTTATAAGTAAGGACTTCAGTGTTTACTATCGAGCTGTAAAGCATAAACTTTCTAAATTCTGCTAATTATTAGCATTGTTAGTATGAATTTTAATGATAAAATCGATTCTTTTCAGTTTGTACTGATATTTCTAAGCATTTAGTAATCCTGCTAAATGTTACGTGTATTTTTAACAAAAATTGATCATTTAAAATTCATAGTGATTCGTTTGATAGATATCTTTGAATAGATCACTGAACTATGTAAGTAATTAACTGAGATGGTGGAGAAAATTTGTAGCTCAGGTGGATGATTTTGATGGAGTATTGCTCTCTGAGCTGGATGGTTTGGTCGTGGAGCTTTCATTGTTCTTCTGAACGACATCATCAGCGCAAACTTCAGGTAGAAGTGAAGTGTTCGAATTTCTGCACATGTGGTTCACAAATTGTCCTGTAGACCTCAATGTTGATTGGTTATTGTTGACTTTAAACCTGCATACTCAGTGGTCTACAAATCAAAAGTTCGCGCGAATCCGAAGGTTCTGAGTTTAAGTCCCACGTGCGGGATCGTGGATGCTCACTACTGAGGAGTCTCATAAAAGGACAAAACTGCCGTTCAGTGCTTTCGGGTTTTAAATTATGGCCTAACATTGATTAGTTCATGATTTCAATGAAACTCGACGATGTCCACAACTCTATACTGGTAATTAGTTATATGTTGAATAGCTTGAAAAAAGTTGCCATGTTGGGCATAAACAGTTTGTAGTACAACAATGCATGAATTAACCAGTGTTTATAATTAACAATAGTTAAGCAAGCTAAAATGCGATATATCATTTGTATACACGCTACAGTTTTTGAGTAATTCATTTGATAAAAATAATGGCCATGGTAAAGAAAGTGGCCAAATATAATTCTTATAGACACAAAGGTTACATTTATAAATTCCTTAGATCGTCCATATGTATATCAGAGGAGAAATCGTGAAATAAATTACAAGCCGAATAGGACTCAGTGGATAACTTTAGAAGCCAAATAATTGTAATTTCAGTGTCTACTTTTGACTAGATAGAGAAGATTTCTGTTTGTTATTATTTTTGTCTGTCTCTTACGAGTTGAAAGTCCCCAACAGAAGTACATCTAAAGTATATGGCTCTACAAGAACAGTTATACTGGGAAATACATAAAGAACTGGCTTTAGAAAACTGTCCACATTTATCAGTATGGGGTTGTGGGGGCTATCAAGTTTTTGATTGAGATCATGAACCGATTGATGTTAGACCACCACTGAAAATCTGGAAGTACTGGACGGCCGTTTCGTCCTATTGTAGGACTCCTCAGCGGTGCACACCTACGAGCCCGCTCGCGAGGTTCGAACCCAGGTCCCTTGGTCTCACGTGCGAACGCTTAACCTCTAGACCACTGAGCTGGCATCCAACAGCGTTAATACCTGACCTGAACTACATTTATTTGGTGAATTCACTCGATCAATAATTTTGTGTATGAAGAAAGCAATATACCTAATTATTGTTTACAATCTAGTAATTATTATTAATAGTAATAATCTAAAAATCTTAAATCTGATTCCTCTATATTTTTACATTTTTAATGGTCAGAGATTGAATAGCAAATAATTGACATTTGAGTGTAATTAATTTTCCTTTTCTACCTCTTTCTTTTCATTTATTCATTTTTCGTTTTGGAATGACACATCCATATATCTTAATGTGAAAGAAACAGGTTTCTATCTAATTAGGAATAATAATTATTACCTATAACACCATAAATGAATCAAAATAAAACATACTTTCACCATTAAATTATATTTTCATGTCTCATTAATTAATTAAGTAATTAATTATATATCAATGAAAAATTGTTTTCATAGATGAAACACACAAAATAATTCATAACTTGTTATGTCCTGATAAGAATAATGAATGGTAACTTTTGGGATCCATTTGTGAACCAATACTATGCGTACATTTTTATGGTATAATTGTTAAATAACTAAACTGTTCATATTCGTGTCCCTCTTATTATGAGCTTTATTTTAACCTACGAACTATTACTATACGCTTTACCATTCTTGAATTATGCTCTATCTATTAATTACTACCTTTCACACTCACAGCCACTTTTGGCTAAATACTGTGCAATTATTGTTTCCTATTTTATGATACGATGTGGTCTGTTTGGTTGGTATGTTTGCAATAAATTATTCATAATGCAGAGGCTGAGATTGGTGTTCTGAACTTAACTGGTTGGTCTAGTCAGATAACAAGAACGATAAGTACTCTAGACTGCTCGTCATTGGTCCGATCGATAATTCATTGCTCTCTAATTGGTGGTGTCATTACGTCATACATTAGCAGGGCACACAGGTCACAAGTTATAACATAACTACCATTTATAAACCATAAAATTAATCAATAATCTATACCGTTTCTTTATAGAAATTAATTTATCAGTTAAACATATTTGATAATGTTCTATATAAATTTGAAAAAAAAATTATTCCAAGAATCATAAATTTCCATGGTAATGTTATCTTTATTTGAAATTTTCTAAAGTAAAATCATTTTAAATATGTGTATCTATGGGTTAAAGATTACAAGTAATAGGGTATAATGTACAACTATGTACAAATACGTTATCTTGAATTTGAAGGAGAAGAAAATTTATCACATTCATTTGTAATTTGCATTTCGAAAGTGATAATTTGTTGATTAATTGAAATGCATTGCATAGGGGAAGAGAGGGATGGTTAAGATATAAAACTGTTGGTAAAAAAATGTGCTATTTATAAATGTATAATTTAACCAATAGGTGGTATTAGACCTTTTGTTAAATTTTCAAGATAAAGTTTAATACTATTAGAAGTAGAACAAGTAATGGGGTACTACTAAAAGAATCATTATATAAATAAATTTCATGCTATCTAGTACTCATTAGTAAAGTGTGTTTAAAATGTTGAGAAAATTGGCATTTCTTGTAGAGGCTCGAATATGTGTCATTCAGTTTCAGTATAAATATTTCAAATGTAGCACCTCTAACTGTAACACAAGTTGACTTGTGCCTAAATCTCACAAGTGGAAACAGTTCTCTCTTAATCGTAAATCCACCTTGCTGATGAAGGATAACTAGGACAAAAACGATGTTCAAACCCACTTTTCGAGTATCTCTAACCACTGATACCAAATCGCTTGATTAGTGACCACATTGTTATCAGATCGATTAACACCAATGATAAGATAAACATCCATTTGTCATGGTTTAGGGATTACATATTATATATGTATATATATAACAATTAACCGTTTGAGATTATTTACAAATTTAAAACTAGAAAACAAGCACGATTCACGTGAAAAGGGGTAGTAACCTGGACAACGAACAGAACCAACTAGAATTCACAGTCTTTAGCTTGAAAGGGTGAGACTATAATTTATGAACGACCTTTGAGCGATGATAAAGTGACCTTGAGAGTGTCCACTTAATAACTAGGACCAAACGAGGGTTATAAACCAGTATGAAGAATTGGAATTATGATTTACTGTTGATGGTTAGGATTAGGATTTAGATTTAGGGTTTTCACCATGGATTGACATCAGTTATAATGCCAAAACTCTATTTAGCCAAATGGATGAGTGAATTTCGTGTCAAAATCTGAGACCTATAATCTTATACCTGATTGGTTCGTCCATAAGTTACAGTCTCGCCCGAATAAATAAAAAATATTTCACTCTGATTTATTTCATATGTCTTCAGACATTCAAGGTAAATTAGATCTTATCAATTTGACATCAATAGCTCAATGACAGAATTTCCCAAAGTAGGTTTGTCTTGCGATGATCTTTCAATATTAATAAAATTACAACGTATTGTTCGACTAAATACCTAAATTATATTCATTACAAACTATATTCTAAATTAAGTTACAATTGATTAACTCATTTTTATGTTGTAAAACATTGTACTTTCTAAGTGAGTATCAAGTAGTCTATACAATTATTGATAAACATTTGTTTTATGAAACTTATAAAACGAATTGCTGGTTAACTCTAATTTTAATTCTATTTTATTCCTCTTTTGTTTTTCAGGAAAAACGAGAAGCAGCAGTAGATCCATCCAATGAAATTTTAACATTACAAACGGAATTAGGTGAAGCACGAATGAGAGAAGCAGAACTGACTATATCATTTGAAGAATTACAGCACCGTATAACAGCTATAGATCGGCTTATAGAAACTGTAAGTTATATGATAATTGTTCATATTATATTATAAGAGTATTAACCATGTATGGTTATAATTATTCTAAGATGATAAAAAGGATTTGTAGCTCTGATTACGAAGATTTCACTAACCTTCTGGACATTATAAATATCTACTTCATATATTCATTAATTTCATAAGCATTAGATCAGTATATCCTGATGATCATTTTGTGGTTGGTTATTGTAGTAAATTTCATTAGCTAAGATTGTCCTTAGAGTCTAGTTGACTGTTTTGTTCGAGTAACAGTCAACTGAACAAGATATTAGTGATGGTATTTTGAACAACAACTAACGCTTTTTAATAACAAGAATTTTGTCATTAATTATTATGTTTGTTTAGGATTTAATTAGAATATTCTATGGGCTGGTTTTCAGATTATTAGTCAACTTAGGAATATTGGTCACCGATCACCAATATTTTCAATATTAACTAAAGAAATACCATTAAAACTATTTTGATATAAAATTACGTTCTATAAAACTTTTCGTCTAAATTTGATCGAATAGTTTCACAGTATTTAGGCGCCAAGTTGATGTAAGACATTAAGAAGGAAGAATGTATTTGTTAAATCTTAGTGAATGAATTTGAAGTAAATCCAACATTTCTGATTGGATGACTACTTATCCTGCTACTATGTTCCGGAATTTTTCAGAAGCCCAAGGCCACCTAAAGTGGTATAAATATTCTAGATTTTCTGTACATAAAATAACCTTGGAGTAAAGCGTTCCTTCCATATTTCACGCCTTTTCTCTCATGTTCAAGTCGCTATGTAGGACCATCTCTACGGTTTTTTCTATATCCAAAAAACAGCAGCCTTTCTAAACTTTATGGGCCTTCAAAAATCCATAAAACATATGTCCCACTAAGACCAGTGTTTGGTTATATAAATTCACCAACCTACAATCTTTCTAGATGAATAGCCAATATCCTTAAACCATATGAATGTGAAATCAAATACGGAATAAAAAAAGTTCTAGTGAATTCAAAGAGATGATTACTTCTAACCGCATAGAAACAGATAAATTAATGGCAAAATTTGATGGTTTCTCTATGTTCACTAATGTTTCTATTAGGAAGGCTTTAGATATTATGTATAATCTCATTCTATTAAAAGTTTTAACTATACCTTTGTTCATTAATCTCACAATTTCACATTACATAGAAACTGATACAAATTAACCCTTCATATTAGTCATCCCAACACTAACGATTTTATTTCATCTTACAATCGTGAATTCACATGCTACAATATTTAAACGATGTATTTTACCTTAAACCTTGATACTATTTGTATTATTAATTTGAATATATAATTGTAGAAAATTATGGGAATTTATTGAAAAGAATATTCTTCGTTCATATGACTGTGTCTTATTATGATGAGAATTTTCTATCGATTTTATAAGTTTTTCTATAATTTCAACAGTGTTATTGACAAAGTTTAGTAAGACATCTGACCTAAAACATGCACGTCTATTGTTAACTATGTTACTACTTGTACATTGAACTGAGATTTATTGATTAGTATGTTTAAACTCTAGTTAAATATGAATACATCACTCATTGAATGATGAATTATTAAGGAATAAACATATTGTATCTAATTACAGTTTTGCTTTTTATTAATGAATTAAGTAATGATCACCTCGTTACTCAAAATAGAAATGTACATAATATCTTTTTGCTCCGTTATGATAAGTGTTTTATGTTTGTGGAAAAAGGAAATTAAATTTGTTACAAAAGCTGATTATTACATACGTTTATCATTCTGTCAGTTGTATTCATCACGTAAGATGAACTTGTAATTAAATGGTTAAAGGCTCAGTGTTTTCAAATAAGTAATTGCCTAAGTATGGGTTTGTTTTTGATTGAAATCATGGATGGATAAATGTAAGATCACTATTGAAAATCTGAAAACACAGGACGGCCGTTTCGTCCTAGTATGGGACTCCTCAGCAGCTCGCATCCACAATCCCGCTCATGGGACCTTCGGTTTCACGTTCGAACGCTTAACCTCAAGACCATTGAGTGGTCCTTCGACAGCGTTAATGTCTAACTGCAGCCAATTCACGATATTGAGCGAACATCTTCCATTGTCTGAGGTGGATACCTGTTTTTACCGTTGGATGCGGCTCAGTATTCTAGAGGTTAAGCGTTCGCGCTCGAAGCCGAAGGACCTAGGTCCGAATCCCGCGTGGTAGATCATGGGTGCACACTTCTAAGGAGTCCCATACTAGGACAAAAAGGTCGTCCTGTGTTTTAAGATTTTCAATCGTGGTCTAACATCGGTCGATTTTATGATCTCAATCTCCAAAACCCCATACAGATATGTGTTCGTTTGTTGGAAACTATTAGTTAAAAAAATAACACCATAAAACGTGTATTTAATCGATTATATACTGAATAACAAAATGATTTTCACATATCAGACCACGCATTGGTCCTAATTAGATAACCATTCAGTTATTATAATTGAATTCAATTATTTGTTATTGAAAATTAAGAATAAAAAGAGTTTGTATAGGTTATCTATTTTGAAGTTACTTTTCATAATGGATTGATGTTAGTTGGAGAATTAATAAAGTCAATGGAGAAACAAGACAGTTGTGTTGCTCCATTTTCAAACTCCTTAGTGATATGAAGATTTGTAAGTTCGAACGGAAATATTAAAATAAGAAAAATTGGTTGAACGAAGAGTTCTCTTTTTCAGTGAATTCATTTTCAAAACTGTACAATCGCAAATATACATATATTTTCAGGATGATAATAATTACAATAATAGTGATAATAAAATTCTGTTAAACATGGTAACAGTGACGTAGAGTAAACAAAGGTATTAAACAAATTATTTCTTTTTACCAGGGAAACTAATAATAGTTTTATTGTTAAGGGCTTGAATATTCATTATCAAGATAAATAGGGAAATTATAATTGGGCAAGGATGGCTCATTGTTACCATGTTTAGCAGAATTTTATTATCACTATTATTGTAATTATTACCATCTTAAAAAATAAATATACATATTTACGATTGTACAGCTTTGGCAATGAATTCGCCAAAAATGACAACTCTTCATGAAACCAATCTTTCCTATTTCAATAGGTATATTCCGTCTACTCAATAATGAAATATTATCTGTTCAAATAAATTTAGTAAGGGAAGGTACTAACCAAACAATCATTTTGTTGTTATTTCCCACATAGTTTACTAATTTACATCGGGTTTTGAGAACAAATTGACTCTTTACAAAAGCATGTTAGTTAACAAATAATAATTCGATTACTTGGCGTTTTTTTAAGTTCATACTTAACTACAGAGATGTAAAAAAGAAAATTATTTTGATAGGTGAGAATTCTATTGTAAGTTGGTTAAAATTCCATTAACCATAGCTTCTCACCAGAACTTCAAGAACTATCAAAACTAATCATTTATGAGTATATAAAGACCGTTAACATAGAAGGCTTTTTGAAATTGTTTAGTTCATAATTAATATCACGAAGTGATTATAGCAAAAAAAAAGTAATAAAAAACAAGGATTATTAAACATTTTTGATTGAGATCATGAGCCGACTGATGCTAGACCACCACTCAAAACCTCGAAGCACTAAACGGCCGTTTAGTCCTATTGCGGTACTCCTCAGCAGTGCTCATCCACGATCCCGCTTGCGAGATTCGAACCCAGGTCCTTCAGTCTCGCACGCGAACGTTTAACCTCTAGACCACTGAGTCGGCATCCAACGGTCAAACATCAGTCAGCTCATGATCTCAATCAAGAACCTAATAATCTCCACAACACTATACTGATAATTATTTAACATTTGTTTCATCCTAGTATATGACTCCTCATGAGTACACATCCACAGCCATGTGAGTAACGGGATTCAGGACCTTAATATTCAAATTCATTGACCTATGTGTTTAGTGTTTTTTTTTGTTTTTAAAAAAGCTACCACTTATTTCCAATGTTTAAGTTTATATGATTTTGTATAAATTGAATATTATAGTTTTTTTTACTGATAAGTTGAATGTGACTATCATTATTGTCATTATCACCATATCAATTTACTTTTGTTAAATTCATTTCTGTGTAAGAAATACAAACATTTTTCCAACTAATACACCATTTTTACGTAAATATCAAATAATATAATTCATTCATGTCGGTTTATGACGTAAACGAATTGTATTTCTATCTTATTTAGTTACTAAATTTGATCATATGACATTAAACATTGAATGATTTAACTGTGTAGCGTTACAATTTTTTTTGTTTCTTTTCATTAAGTAAGATCTAAACAGAATAGGCGATGAATTCAAATTTTTATTTGTTTCCTTGGAAAAAAATTGTATAGTTTAGTCATAATATTGAGACGTGAAAAACTTCCGGAAAATTTCATTTAATTTATGTAGTTACTTTGAAATTCATTTTAGTTTAATTGATTATCTTCTTATACAGATTGATCATACTAACTATTATATCCCGATATGGGTTTAGATCCTGTTATATCCTGACGGGAATAATGAATGGTCACTTTTGAGAACTATTTATGGAACAATACAATACAAATACTTTTATTGTATAATTTTTAAGTACCTTAACTATGCATATTCATGTTTCTCTTATTATAAGCTTTATCTTGACCCGTAGACTGTTATCATACGATTCACCGTTCTTGAGTTCTGCCCAGCCTATGAATTACAGTGTTCCACATTTACAGCCACTTTTGGCTAGATCTTGTACAAATGTTTTTTCTGTTTTATGGTGCGATGTGGTCTGTTTGGTTTGTATATAAACCCAATATGTTTGAAATACATGATTTTTATCGCAGAGGCTGAGGTTGATGCTCTGAACTCAACAGACAGAGAGGGCTAGTCAGGAAGAAGGACTGATAAGGACTGTAGACTGCTCGTATGGGTTTATGCGTTATTGGTCCAGTCCATAAACCACTTTTCTCTAATTGACAGTATCATT